GGATCTCTAAAACAAGAGCTTTTAAATCATTATGGACATAACTAAATAATATGATAGACTACAGATCCCAGTTAACTCAAAGAAATGTGTCTGATCAGTACACTTCAAAGTATCAGGTCACATCTGTTAAAGTCTAATTGTGGCACCTAACTTAAGCCTCATAACTGTTCTGTTTTTTCAAGGCCTGATCAATTTGTGGTCTTCTTGCTGAAACTAACAATTAATGACACACTGAGCATTTTTACTGATGTAGTCACTTGTATATGGACTTAAACCTATTGTAGATTAATTTCTTACACGCCATAAAACAAACATCGTAAGTAAATGCATTTTATTGCTATGGACCACATCAGAAATAGCAATCTAATGCTACAACATTACTAATCCTCAAGTCTTCAACAGTCTCACTCCATCTCCAACTGTCTCTTTGTCTGGTATTAAAAACATCATTAAATTGGATAAAGAAAGATAATTTTGTCTTTGTATTTTATAAGTATATAACGGGATGGATCATACAGTGTTTAGATTTTTTCCAGCTGATTGAAATGTGGGGCCCAAATTCCATGCATAGTCAGTTTAGGGACATTTTGGAGAAGACAACAGGGGTGGAAGGTGAGCAGCAGTGAGGCAATGAAACACGGTGGTGTAAGGATTTCAAGGCATGACTGCTGACAGGTCTGTGTGGAAGCCGTCCTGTCAGCTGACGTATGAACCTTCCAGTCAGCAGAACTTAAGTGCATTACAGCAGTGGACAAAGAATAATTTTTCTGACTAAGTGCCAAAAGGAAAGGAGTAGACCAGAAAGATGCTTTGATCCCTGAACTGTCCCAAAATGTCAGAATGAGTGGGCTGCTAATCAATATTGGGAAAAAAAAGACTTTCTGAGGGAGGTTTTCTTGTGTTTTTTACGGACTCATAATCACAGCTCATCAGCTTCACAAGGTAGTGGGTAACAGTCTAAACATGTGATGACGTGGTATTTTATTAACCTGTTAAAATGGCCAGATCACACTGCACCAGGTGTAGGTGCCCAGGCGCTGGTAGCAGTGGGGTGACAGGGGTGGAGAGACCTACCTCTGTGAGGTGGCCCCATGCCACACAGTCCACTCCAGCCAGCTCCAGCAGACCCACCACAGAGCACGGCTGAGCCCCTCAGTCAAGCTAGTGGCCCCACTGTGAAAACGTATTTAAGAAACAAGAAAAACCACCACACTGTCAAGAGGAGGGAAGAAAGAGAGTGAGAAACCAAACACCAAAGTCAGAGAAGAAGCGGGACACGGCTGGGGGGAAATGCTTGAGCACTGGGTCAGGTATTTCCCTGCAGCCCACGGAGATGACCACGCTAGAGTACATGTCCACACTGTAGCCCGTGAAGGACACTACACCGGAGCAGGTGGATAGTTCCTGAAAGAACTGAAGACCATGCAGAGCCGACACTGGAGCAGGTATTCTTGAAGGACCAGAGCCCATGTGGAGAGCCCACCATGGAGCAAAGCAACAGTGTGAGGAGGACTGACAGTAATCCCCCCTGCGCGTCAGGGCACAGGCAGAAGAGTCCAAATCTATTTTAATAAAAAAATTAATTTTACCCAAGTCAACTCTGTTTTACCTGCGACAGTAACTAGTATGCCATCTCCCCATCCATATTTCAGCGCACAAGCTTTCTCATCCTATTTTGTCCTCCTGTCTTGTTGACGGGGAGTGAGTGAGTGGCTGGGTTGGCATGTGGCTGCTGGCCAAGGCTAACCCACCACAAGCACTCAGACTGAGAAGGAATACAAAGGGGAGGCTGAAGATTTTAGCAGAGACAGCATACAATTATTTCGCCCATTGATGCGATTACTGTAACTAATAAGTCATTAACTACACATGTTAAAGAATCTAGTTGTGTAAAATGAACAGATTTAATGTCTCTTACTCTGTTTATGCCAACATGATATTAAGAAGTACAGAAGAAATTAATAAGGAAATACAGTTTATCAACAAGTATAACAAGGGCATGTTTATAAGAAAAAACTTCTCAACGTATTTTTAGAAGGAAAGCGTTTCAAGAAATCATTTATTTTTCATACATAAAAAAAGACTGCAGATGGGGTTTAAAATACAACATTTACTTAAATGCCTCTTTTCTTGATGAGAAGATTTTAAAGAAAACGCTTTATGTTTGAACTTCAAGCAGATGAAATTTCTTCTAAGAACTCTTCTAGCAAAAATTAATTCATTTGTGTTACCATTTTGCATCTTACATTGGGTGCTTTTTTTTTTTTAAATGAACTAGTCAAGTCATGAACACAAGTTCTCTAAGACAACATTCAAACCTGTTCTACTTTGCCAAGTTTTTCAGTTTAAGGCTATCTAATAGATTCTAGGGAAGAAAAAAAAAATACTGCATCTGTTTAGCTATTACCTTTTGTTCATCTTTAACACAATGAGAATAAAACTGAACAAAAACAAAATCTTCTTGAGGTCCTTTTGTTTGCCCTTGATGGTGGTGTTTTTTTTAAATTTGGTAAAACATTCACTTTGTACTTTGATATTTGTATTCAATATTTAGATGGCACAAAACCAAGAAAGATTTCTTATTTTAATGGTATCAGGAACTCTTGTGCAAAAATCCAGCTCCAGGAGTCAGATGAAGATAGCTAACATGACAAGACTCAGGGTAAGAGAAACAATAACCTTCTAAGGAATACCTTGCAGGTTATGAAGGATATGGAATGAGCTGCTAAAAATATTTTCTCTCTTAGCATAGCACACGCTCAAGTTTTTCAACATTTACGCTTCATAAATATTCATGATGATTTAAAAAGGTGGCTCTGAAATGGTCTTAAAAGAATCACTCTGGGCACAAACATGCCCAAGCACTCGCTGATAAAGCCAAATGTACGATACTAGATTCTCCATCCAGTCACAGGGGGGACAGCAAATGTTGTAAATGATCCCTTGTCTAGAGCTGTATTAGAAGCATGCACAGAGACTGTCTCTCTCAGCTCTGCTAGTTCTTGCTTTGTTTGCTGAACATTACACCCAAATACAGCCAAAGGCAGATGACCTACATAGCTGCATTCTGGAATTCTTGTAGTGGTAGAGCACAGAAAAAAATGAGGTCGCTTTAATGGATATCAGTGTATACTGTCTTATCCTGAGTCTAACTAAGACTGCTAAGCATGTCTGTAAAATCCCACTGAGCTCCAGGCAAAAATTTAGCATTATGCATTGATAACACAGATCCTGCAAGTGATGCGGTGGAATTCTGTGGGTATTTGCTCATGAATACATCAACGTAGAAATATCACAATGTTCAGTTTCCAAGTCCTGTAAATGTATCTGCAGCTAACAGTAATACTTGTTCAACTCCAGATGATTCTAAACTTTATCCATTTTATTTTGATTCTTTTTTTGAAAACAAAAGCAGAATTTCTATGAGGCAGACAGACAGACTTGTGGTTCCTTTACCAGTATTTCATCTACTTCATCACGTTCCGATTTTTCACTGTGTGAGAAAACATTTAAGAACAGTGTAAACTTCATAGTTTACACATCAGCCATGTTCATTAATGTTAGATAATTAGCTACTATTATGATGTGCGGTTTACATTACAGATATTTCCCAAAGAAAGATCAATAACTTCCCTTTGTTCTTCTAGGATAAAGGATATGTCAAATGCTGAAAGGACCACCCTGACATTTCTAATTCTTATTTTTTCCTCATTCTTTGGACTGACAAACCAGAAAGAATAAACTACTCTGCTACTCAATAATAAGCTATTTGGGCCTAACAACTATGCATGTTGAGAACTAAGAAGCAGATGTAACTAAAATTCTCAAAGAAAGATGGCAGTTTCTTGATCAATTCACTGTATCAGGAAAATCAGTACTAAGCATGTGACTTTCCCTATTCCCCAGACACTTCAGTCCTTGTGCATATACATCACTGCTTTCTAAATCAAAATGTAGACTTGCAATCCAGAACAATAAATTTTCAAGGCCAAGGACATGTTACTGTACAAACTAGCACTTTCTGCATTACATAGATTTCGCAAGCTTAGAAGAAGCCAGTATGAGGAAGATGGGGACACAAAGGAAAACACCATCACCTATCAGAACATTTTGCTGCAGATAAAACACACAGTTTAGGTACTGTCACTTTTTGTGAAGGTTAAAGGAAAGAGAAATTTGAAAAAGGTATCTGAAAATTAAATTAACAGCAGTTTTGGTGGGCACAGAAACTAAAATAAGGAATAGATTCCCACGTTGCTGGAAATTCAAGATGTGATAAGGGAAATGAACACTCCAAGGTAATAAAAATACTTCTTTTGCTCTGTGTTGCTCTGGACTAAAATCAGTCATAAACCAATCAGCAACTAAAGCCACACTTAGAAACAGCCCTTTCTTCCAAATAATTAAAATATACAGCTTTGTTGGACATTCAAATAATACTACACCAGGGCAAAATAGTACAAGTCAGAGAGACAACTTAAGATTATTCCTCAATTTAAAAAAGTTTAAAAAAAAAAAATCAAAGTTTTTGATTACAGGTTAATACTTACTGTCTTTTCCTTATTTTATTTATTATGTATCAAAGATTAAAGTAGCATGCACAAAGCCAAATGTCTTACAGCCACCACCTCTGTGACCTCACCTGATGACCTCCACCTTACTCAGTAGACAGAGTTAACTGACCAGCAATTACAACTTGTTTGGATGATCAATACTCTTCACTTGGTAACCAGAAATAGTGCTCAGTGACTGAGGGAAGGAAGGTGAATTTTGTAGTATATTGAAAACAAGAAGTCTGCATACCACAAAACTGTATTTTATTTTACAAAGTATGAATAGTTTTTGGAGATGAAAGAAGCTGAAGGTGGAAACTTAAAACACTAAGGAAAGGAAGTTGCTCTACAACAACTTCTACTCTCCTCCTTCCCTTAGACTAAGAAGTTGTAAAACCTCACTGTGTTTGGAAATACAAATGCAGAGGGAATACTTCAAATTCTTACCTTATGAAGAGTGTCTTCCACAGATTTCATATGACTAATAATCAATTCTTTGTCTCTATGACAAGAGGAAAAAAACCAGAATAGTTAATACCACCGAAGGTCTACTGATGTAGAAATTAATTTTTTCCTACTTTATAACCATCACATCTTTAAAAATAATTGTTCATAACTCGAACTGCTATGTTTCTATTTCTCCTTTTTATATCTCCAATGCAAACCCCAGAAAATAGTTCCGGGATCACTGTTTGGCACGTTTCCATACGAAATATGCTTCTGTTGTGCATAAGGAATTAAACTAGTTGTACTTATAGGCATATCAATGAACAACTATCATGTTCCTGGAGAAGAAATCTGCTGTCTTGGATAAAAGGGCATGTTCAATGGAGTCCAGGATTTAGCAGGAAAAGATTACATTCTCATATTGGAAAACACTGACAAATTCTAAGTTTTTCATCAATTGTATGGGCCTAGCAACTATGTGCTTACATGCAGGTAAGTCTGTCTTCTCTGAACTTGAACATTCCCCTGGTCCTTTCCAAAAGCAGTCCAGTCAAGAATCCTATCCTTACCAAACAGAAGTTTGGGAGAATGAAATACTACTCCCATGCCTTTTTGTAGATTGGGGCTTCAGTAAGAAAGACAGCTTTGATCAGTTATGGTGCCATAAAAAAAACCCTCAGCTTCATCTGATGCATTGACAGAAATGGAATTAAAATTGCATAATACCATATGACTACGGAGAACAGGACAGTGTGGCCAACAAAACACCATATGAAATCAAATGGAATCTATGTCAGAAAAGCTGATACACCTTAATATTCCAGGACTGTCTTCTACCTTGCCAGTTCTCTGAATATTTCATCTAAGCTCTCACAGTTCCTAAAACAGAAGACAAGGCCATGGTGGTGTTCTGCCTGGAATGACTGCTGCTTCCTCACATCTTGATTCATACAATCCTAACAGCAAATTCAGGAAGGCGGACAGAAAAGCAGGATTGGCTTCTACATTCCTAGTAAAGCTATCACATAGACTTTTCTCTTTTCAGGATCCTGCCTTTCTTTGGCGTAGACAGACTGACAGTGACATGCTGTTCACCTTCTCTGCTGGCCTCATTTATGTAGCGACTGATACTTGAGTGAAATCGGTTCCAGAGAGCCAGTTCAACACCATTAACTTCTAAGTTTGTTACTGGCATAGAAGTCAGTCTTTACCTTGCATATTCTCAGGTGTTCATCATAAAAAGGAAAGTATCTTTAGATAGAATTTTGCACCCAGGTTAATAGGTGGTCCCCAGGTTCTTATTTTTTTGAACAGAAAGCCCTCTGACTACAGCCGATTTATTATTTTAAAAAACATGTTAAAGTCAGGTAATATTTGCTTATAGCACCTAGGAAAAAAGTTTGAAAAAATGAATCTACTGCACCTACATCTTTATTTCATATATTCATCAACTCCTACAGGTGTAAGGGAAATTCAGATTGGATCATAGAACTGTTCTTTAGAATTACCATGCAGAAATGTAGTTCAGGCATGAGGAACATGCTTTATATCATCTTTTACACAATAGCTGGGGTGAAGGCTTCATAGAGAGTTTCTATCTAGCAGAGAAATAACCAAAAGGCTACTAAATTTCTGTCAAGTTCACTGCTATCAGACACTTTTATTAATACTGCTTCCTACTGTGGAGGAAAGTGGAACAGAACTGCTGGCTACCATTACAAGAAAATCAAGATGGCCACCCTGCTATCCTTTAAAGCTGTACAAAAGATTAGGGAAGAACTTAAAACACACCCATGCATTGCTTACAATCACTCAAGTTATGGAAGAGCTATTAAAATGAGATTTGCTGGACAAAAGTAAAGTCTATTTCACCTACTTTGCTTATATGTTCCAACAGGAAAAAAAGACATTTGTTATGAAGAGCTGGTAAAACAATAAATGGTATGGGTTTTTTCTTCGTCAATATTCAACTGCTATATACAGAAATAAAACCAATTTTAAACCCACTTCACGTTAAAATAACGTTTTTGAACATAAGAAGGGCCACAGGGAATGAACTTTACTAGAGCACATAAAATAGGTTGGGGCAGGGTGAAAAGGAGCAAGCTTTCCAGAACAAGTCCTTCTTCAGGTCACATCTGTTTTAATACACTCATACTAAATAACATTTGTTATTTTAATTATTTTGTTAAACATTTCACTGATAACTATATTAATTACATTATTTCACTCAGGCATAGAACCCTTAAAGCTACTGTTCTTCAGAGGTCAAATCTATCCCAGGTATAATGAGAAATTTTTTTAACTTTTTTAAAAATCTTAGCCATGGACCAACAATATTCAACATACATACTACAATAAGTGTAACAGACAACAGAGTCTGCAAAGATTTATTTTTTATCTGACTATATGACTGTAATCTCATTCAAGTCAATACAACTACGAAGTCAAAGGAAACACCTTTTGACTACCATTCTTTACAAGATTGGTCCCTGAACATTTCCTTCCATTCTCCAGATTACGGTATAAAAAGGCATGGGTTTTATGTCTAAATCCAAAACTCTGAAATCATCTGAAACATCTATGCCATTCCACAGAGGAAACTAGGTCCAAAATGGGTTTCAGCCCCTTTGGCAGCTAAGGCCTGTCACCTAGCTGATGCTTCAGTATTTATTATAAAGTAATTGTATCTATAAAATGTGGAAATAGAGAAAACAAGCAATCATTTCTTAAATAAACAGAGCATTAGGGATCTGCCAAAGAGATGTTGTCAAATCAGCACGGTAACTGGCAAACAAAAACGCCCATGCTATTTCAGGACCCAGAATTTGGAATGCTATTATGGGATAACAACAGAAAACATACCAACTAGTATCTTGAACTGTTTTCTTTTTAGAAGACTATCACTGAATTTCAAAGAGAGACAGATGTACTTTTGTTTTCTAGCATTACATTAGCCAGGGCTAAAACCCTGTGCATGAAAGTAAGAATTGATCTTTTGTCTGTTTTAAGTGATCTCCCCAAGGTCCCAGTGCTCACTTCGCTGCCATGCAGAGGGCACTCTCTGCATCACGGATGCTCTCTTTCAGTCGACGCCTGTCCTGCTCCAGCTGGGTAAGAAGTCTATTGCACTGATGCAGAGATTGATCTTTTCTTCTCAGCTCCATCTTTGCCTCGGAGAGTCTCTGCAAGCAGACAGAAAGCAGAGTTATTTGTCAGCCCAAATAATTAACTTCAATTTATGCCATAGGCTATTAAACAAAGTGGAAAACAGACTGACTGTGAAGTAGATTTGGACCATTACATAGCAAGGTTTCATGAATTCTCTAGCAAAAGCATTACTAACTCACAACCCTCCAGTTTTTAGTATATTGCCTACGTACAAATGTGTTTTATAAAGTGATTCATTGATCAAACAGGTACATATACTATGCTACAGCTATTATATTTACAAATACCAGATCTAAACACAGTGGAAATAATCAAGAGTATAGCATTAAAGAGAAGAGAATGTTTTCAAAACTTATTTTTAAATGAACATTAAGGAAAAGAATTCACAAAGAAAGAAAGGAAATAAACAAAGCAGCATTTATTTAAATATTCTGCACTATTCAGAAACTTCAACGCTAAAAAAGAAAATAGGAATGTAATATTCTCTGCTAGTGCATTAAGTACAGTTTTGCTGCAATTTTTGCTAAGAATAAATCACTATTTTGTGGTGCTTCCACTATTTTAGCATAAGTTTTCCAATATGCAAAATAGTACGTGCATTTTTTTAATGTTTCTCTCTGGCTTACAATTAACACAACATGCTTTGAATCAATTCAGATTAATCCAATAGATGACAAATCAAACACACAGAACTAATACAGAAGCTGGCTAGTTGCTACTCCTTCCTGCTGGGATAAATCAATACTTTTATAGATTGGAGTATTAATAATGTGATTTCATAGTTTGCTAAATGTTACATGTTACTTACAGCTGTTAATTGCCTTTTTAGAAAGCAATTATGATAGGTGGCTATAAACATTCTTTTACAAAATGCAAATTCCCCGACAGATTCTAAACCAATATATAAGGATAGAGAAGGCTACACATTTCCAAGACTGAGCTCTTGCACCTTGTTTTCAAAATTTATGGATGTGTTTTCTGCCTAAGTTCCAAGAATGCTCTGCATAATTTGTACTCAGGAGTACTTGTCCTGAACTGTGGAATATGAAAAATATGTATTATGCTGTGGATATGTATTAAGACCAGCGTATGTAAAAGGCTGACAGAATTCAAGGCAATTCAAAAAACAATATGATAGAGAAGATTTCTACAGAATAACAAAGCACAGCATAAAACCATATAATCTTGCAAAATAAACTGAAATCTCTGGTTTGGCGTAAGTTTTCTTCAAACATTTCTCAAGACAAAAAAGCAGCCTGTTATTTCAATACTGCATTTGGAAGGCACAGCACCACTACCTGAACTCTCTGTTCAGCAATTTAGAAAATCCAGGCTGAGATTAATCGTTGCTGTAAGAAAAAAAGTGATCAGGAGTTTATTTAAGAAACTCTAAACCACAGAAATGTTAATATTAGTGTTGCTCAAATTACTGCAGGTTGAATAACTGTATTCTGCCTCTTACGTCATTATTGGAATGCTATTTTTCACCTAAGGAAAGATAAACACACAGATCTCATTCTCCCACTGCATTATTCACATAAAGATGTCCAAAACCAGAAGCGCCACTTTCAGAAGTTCTACCCTAATGCCACCAGCAGCTATCAAAGTCCTGTCTGAACAGCTGAATTCGTGAACAGTCAGATTTTCAGAAGAGTTTTTTTCCAATAAACCAGATATGGATTAGCAGGAATAAAAGGAGCAGTCTTTAAGAACAAAGAACATTATCTTCTACCATTTATTGTGTTTACTGTCTGTTTGTTTTAGGCTAAGCTTGCATCAAAGAAACAGCTCTGAAAACCAAGTTGAGTCCCCCACTGCCCGCATTCCCACCTTTTGACAAACAAAATTTATTGAACAGAGAGCAATGTCTCTGGTGCCGATGCTTTGTCCACCCCACTTTCCCATCTGATTGAAAAGTCTGCTTTGAAGATGCAGTCACAGGACTGAGCTCTGGCCAATGCAGAATAGATAATTCTGCTAATATTTCGATGCAAGCAACTTTTGATGTAGAGGCTGGTAGAACAGAGTCTGGCTCTCAGATGCTAGTGGTCTAAATGAGTGAAGAAAGACAGGATAATAGGAACATCATGCATATTTATTTCATTTTTATTAGATTGCTATCCTTCCAGAGAGGCTGAAGAGTTGTCTGCTCCCGCATAAACCTTTCATCACTGACCTCAAATGGTGAAGAGACCCACTAAGTGTCAAAATCATCTGGGAGCTGCTAACTAATCCTGCTTACCAATTGCAAGCGCAGGCCTATTAATGAGGCAATAACAGGGATGAAAGCATGAAGTCTAACTCTGACATGGCCAGCAATCCACCCTAGCTGGTGACAAAGCAATAGAGAAAAGATTAAATCAAATATCTCACTGAACAGCTGCTTTATTATATTCAAAACTTCCACCATTATTTACAGAAATCTCCAACAGATTCAGACTTTACCTATCAATAATATTGCAATACCTAAACAAAATGTAAACTGATTTTAGCTCTCTAAAAGCAGTTTCAGCATTCACTTGAAGCTCCTTGCTACTGTGGGTTAAAGTCAAGCCCTGGAAATTGCTGAAATACAGTGTGGAGTATTCTAAAGTAATGGCTGCTAAGCCTCTCTTTTTTTCCTTCTTCAGATTGATCTAATTAAAACCCTTGATAAACTTTATGGACTCTAATATTTCCAGCTGAGTGACTGAAACCAAGAGGGTGTGCCTCAAGGCAGCAAGGCAACAATGATAAGCAGCAGGTTAGCCACTAATTTCTCAGCCAGGGTAGATAGTGAAAGTGTGATGTTCTGATATCCAAGAAAGTGTTCAGGAGAGAATAGGATAAATCAAGTTTAATAACTCTGCTCCTAATTGTTCCCTCAATGCTCCACTCTAATTACTTGGAGAACTCTCCTGACTGTCACCTGATATTAAGTTGTTGGAGGCTGAGTGTGGAGCAGTGAGATAATCAATAAACATTTAGTGGGGAGAAGAATGAAGATCCTGTTAAGCAGTGGGAACCTGCAGCACCCAAAGCCCTTCTGCTCATGAGAAAACCTATGGGAGAGCCATAGTGATTGCAAAGCAATAATCCAAAGCACTGTTTTTAGGCCTTGAGGCCTTTAGGCAACAGTACATTTGAGAAAAAAAGGTTAACACGGTCACCCTAATTACAGCCCATTTTCACATTCTTCATATATAAGCGAAGACAAGCCAATTAGGTAGAAAGGAAGATAAGGGAAGTTTTATTTGTATACTAATTAAACCCCTGATGAAATTAAAGGAAAAACATACAGCTCTGTAATTGTGTCTGAGAAAGGTCACTTCAGGTTCAGTTATCAGAAAAGCACAGCCTTGAGATATTTCACTTAATCCACTATATAGCCCTTATTTTGCTCCCCAGGTCTTAGTATTTACAAAAATAAGAAAATTTCAAAACCTGATAATGCATTTATCTTGAAATGTTTTCTGTGGACAATTACAATTGTTAGAAAGTTGAGGCTACACATGATAAGAAGAATGAAGGTTTTAAAAACCTACTATGTCTGCACATAGTTCTGTGAAGATGCTGAGCTTTCACTTTCAAGAACAAGTGACTCTGAACCAACTTAGAAGCCAAACTCCAATTAATTGACATTTCATAAAATGCCAGTTATCTGTTTAGTTCAGATGTTTAGGCATTCAGGTGTTAATTCAGACATCACTGCACTCCTCCCTCTACCGTCCACCCAATTCTCATTATCAGTTGAGTTTTCATCAGAATCCTTAGCAGTTCCCTTTAGAGATACTTTAGATTTAGGCTTTTTTTCCCCATAAACTGGGCATGAAAATCCATTTGTTGGAGGGAAGAGCAAGTAACTGATTGCACTGAAGAAAAATCTCATTGGATGTCTGTCAGCTGTGTCCTTCCACAAATAATTTTAATAAGTTTAGGTTTTCCAGTGAGGAATTTCTTTCTTCAGAAGCAGTTACAAAAAAAAAAAAAATCAAAGTTTAACATTGTCATTTTTTATGTATAAAAAAACCACTCTATTCAAAATATAACAGATGGACAGTCATTCTAGATGAACGATGACAGTCATACAGTTTAAGTTCATGCAAAGCATGTGTAACACATTTATACTGAGAGCATATTTTCCAAGATCGACTACAGCTAGATCAAACTGCTTACTAAATTTGATCTAAATTACACAGACACAATGGAGCACTACAAGATATTCAAATATACTGCAGTATGTGTATTATGAACTAATTTGCGAAATTGCAGATTTTGTCTTCAGGATGAAGTTTTACATGTATGTTTTCCATTTAGATGCAAAATACTACTTTTTGAAAGATCTGTACACTGACTACATCCTGAAAACTGTCCTACACACACATAAGTAATAAAATTGCACAATGAAAAAAAACATACAAAGTTTACCTAGCATCCATTCCTCCACCAGCTGAAACACACTTCCCTTAGAGAAGTCTTGCATCTTCCAAAGGCCCAAATCCAAAAGGTACAAGAATTTACATTAGTATTTAATGCCAGCTGTATTTTTAGTGTGCATGACTGCAATGCAAACCAAATTACATTAGCTCAAACTACACAGCTGAATTTCCACAGGACACTTTCTGAAAAGAATTCTTACTTATCAATAACACCTCAAAGCAACTTCTACTAAAAAAGGAGATTAAAAAATCACAGGGAAGAAAATGCTGTGGCAAAAAAAAAAAAAAATCGTAACTGAGACTTCTCATCAATAAATGAAAAAAAAAAGAGAACATCTAAGACATACATTTAGACTTATGTCAACAAATAAGATGGATTTACATTTCTCAACTGGAAACTAAACTGCAGTATCAACATATGATATTCGGATTTACCGTGTGTTTCATAGTGGCTGCAGTAGTGTTTTAAAACAGTTTGAAATGAACTCCATGCGGCTGTTCTGCTCTTGCAAAGCAGAGTTAACCTAAGGCCGACCACCTGTGACATCCCTTCAATAACAAATGTTTTCACATGCCCTTTAAACTTCTCTAGGAAA